AAATTTTAGCATCACAAACATAGCACAATTGATTAACACCAAACGTTTGATTTTGCACATTTAGAGGGATCGACTTCTCTCAGGTCCACACTTTAAGAACTTTCTGCTCAAAAGGATATTTTTTGTTACTACTGTTTAATGTACTTCAAATATTTTCTTGAAGATTATATTTCAGAGATTTCATTTAAACCACAACCCATAAAAAGTGTTTAATAATTTTATTCTGACAAAATGCAATTGTTGCAAACTAAAACACTATACTGTAGCAGCCTGTTTCTCCACAGACCACTTGAAGACTCAATCCTGGGTTTGATGTGTTGGTCACAAATGAGCTCAATATTTCATTACCTGATATAGAACTACTGAAATTTTTAGGAGACTGCAAAGATTAAACGTTATGAGTTTTAGTTCGGTTTAGTGTTATTGTGCTTTTTAATTTCAGTCTCAACTTTGAGATCCATTATGTGCCTAGATGTAAGACAATATATTTTTTTTACAAATTATCCATATTTCTGTGTCTGTTTAAGGTGTTTGCGTGGGGTGATAATGACCACGGGCAGCAGGGAAATGGCACCACCACAGTGAACAGGAAACCCACCTTGGTTCAGGGTCTGGAGGGGCAGAAGATCACTCGAGTGGCATGTGGCTCCTCCCACAGCGTGGCCTGGACTACTGTGGATGTGACCACACCCTCAGTTCATGAGCCAGTCCTTTTCCAGACAGCCAGAGACTCCCTTGGAGCCTCATACTTAGGTGAGTCTTCCACCTTGTTTAGTTTTTTTATTTTTTATTTTTTTGGGCWTGTYTGTCTGAGTGTGTTTGTAAACAACAGTACCAGGAACTACAGTCCTCTAAAAATAAAATAACATTGTGAGAATATTGTACACATTAACCTGTACATTTTAAAGGTGTTGGATAAAAAAACAACAGTAATTTAACCATAACATTTGTAATTGGAAATCAAATGAGAACTTTAAAACTGTGTTAGAAATTGAAAATGTAGAGCAACCATGAAGGCAGAAAATTAGTTTTTAGAGTTTTGGGGCTTTAAAACATTTTAGATTAAGATGTGTAAAAGTACATTCTGTACCTGCAGGTACTTCACTAGCGACATGAGGCCAATAATGCACAACTAAGAGCTAAATTTATTAATTATTTTATCATGTCTGTGCTGCTCTTTTCCATTTATTCATTTCAGGTGTCCAGTCAGACAGCAACTCATCAACAGGGAGCAACAAGATGAGTGGTCAGAGCAGCTTGAAGCCAAATCGACCCTCGCTGGCTAAGATCCTCCTCAGCCTGGATGGGAACTTGGCCAAACAGCAGGCTCTGTCTCATGTCCTGTCAGCTCTCCAAATCCTGTATGCAAGGTCAGCTGTCTGCACGCTTTGGATCGTCCAAATCCAGTCTCATAAAAACATTTAGCTTTGTGTCTAGGAGAAAGATGGTTAACTGCAGCCATCTGTTTAAAACTTTCTTTACTGAAACTGGCTGTAGCTGCAAACAGGAGGAGATAAAATGTGAAATAATTAGTTCAGCCTGTCCACAGGTGTTTATCATGATTATGGGATGTGCTGTGTCTTGTCTCAGGGATGCAGTGGTTGGTGCTTTGATGCCTGCCAGCATGATTTTGCCAACTGAGTGYCCTTCCAGCTCACCTGTTCCCCCGTTAGACTCCTCGTCTTCATCCTGCGTCAGTGATGAAGAATGCCCTCCTGTCCCTCCTGAAACCGACGACAGGGTCAGCCCTAATCCCTGGCAGGACAAGAAAGGAGAGGTACATCATTCTTCCTTATTTTTCTCRAGGGATTATCAAGACAGTGCTTTAATTGGGCAGCAGTGATTGGTACTGTTCAATGCTGCAGCAAAACTTTAATCAAGATAAAAAAGGTTAGATGGGTAAATGGTGGATAGATGGATAGGTTAAGTACAAAGTGATGTCTTTTCACACAGTTTGTTGTTAATACCCTTTGTTAGAAATGAAAAAACGTGTGTTTTGTGTGTGAACAGGCTCCTTCCTCAGAAGATGCAGTCACACCATCTTCAGCTGTGACTCCCTCGGCCTGTGGAGCCTCCTCACGTCCTTTCATCCCCGTCACTGACGACCCCGGAGCCGCTAGCATCATTGCTGAAACCATGACAAAGACGAAAGAAGTTAGTTTTGTGTAATAACAGTGGTGTGTGTGTGTGTGTGTGTGTGTGTGTGTGTGTGTGTGTGTGTGTGTGTGTGTGTGTGTG